CAATTAACTAATCTTACCCCAGTTCTTAATGTAATTTTTTTAGATGATCTTTTCTGTGGCACCTTATAATTTTTTTTTTACTTTTGAAAATCTAAGTATCCTAAATTCACAACTCTTACATCATCCAAGTAACAAGCAAAATCTTCAAAAACATATGGTAACAGATTAGTAAGGCAAGATTTTCTTTTGGTGAAGCCATATTGGCTTTAACTTATGATCTGATGAAAAACCTTTTGAAATGCATTAGCCTCCCCGTTTTCAACATGGGATCAGTAATAATTACTCATATGAATGTTACATAAAGATAGCTAGGCATTAAGACTAAAAGTAAATACCTTCAAAATTAACTTCTCAAATAATAGTAAAATAATAATGATATTATGTATGTTACTGCATAGATTACTTAATTGTGAAAGAAAATTACAAATACTGAAATTTAGTTGTTTGAAGCTATGTTTTGAAACTCAATTTTTTTTATCACAATAATAAAAAACATCTTTTTTTGATAAACTCAATATTCTGAAAAATGTACAAAATTTTTTTAAAATCCACTATTTTAAACAAGTGTTTGGTGTTTGGAATGAATTATCCATTATTTCAAGTGAATTAATGCTCCCAAACTGTATACAAGATACATATTATAACATTATTACTTAAGTATTTTTTGCAGGACAGATGAATGCTCTGTCAGTGCATACAGAACAAATATCACTAATGTTAACTTCTACATTCTAAGCATATTTCATTCCACAACTGTAGAAATGCACACAAAGATCTCATATACGAATAAACATGCATATACATGAATGTTGTTTTAGACAATTTTTGTGACTTACTTGTATCTAGATATATATTTTAACAGAAATAACATTATAATATGTATACCACAAAATTTGTTTCCTTTTTTTCTGAGTTGGTAAAAATTCTGTGGAATAAGATCTTATGGATATTTTATTAAAACAAGTTACCTTTTACAACATAACAAAATACAACACACATGAGAAGTGCACATGTTGTAATTAAGAGAAATAACATGTAATCTTACAGCAATATTGTTTTTGTTTTTCTGTTTACATTACTAAATGTATGTGTGGCTCAGTAACTCCACATACTTAGTGACCCAGGCAGATCATTAAAGATTTTTTGTGAGTTTCAAGTGCT